ACACACACACACACACACACACACACACACACACACACACACACACAAATTAAAACAACAACAACAACAAAACAGCAATTACGGAAAAAAAACCTCCACAAAACTGACAATATAGAAAGCTAACATTCTGTGAGACAGTCAGGCTAGCCATATGGGCCTTGAACTTGCAATCCTCTTGTCTCAGCCTCCTGACTTATACATGGGTGTACCTGTGTGCTGGCTAGGATGACAGCTGTGTGCAACCAAACCTAGCAAGGTTACTTCAAACATTTGTTCCTATTGTTTATTTACTCTGTGCATGTGGATGTAACTCGCACAGGGAAACCTGCGGAGGTCAGAGGACAGCTTGTTCAAGTTGGTTCTCTCCTGAGTGTGTGGGGGAGGTGTTTAGTCTTTATTTTGAGACAGGGTTTCACTAGGCCCTTGCTGGCCTAGATCTTGAAATGTAGGACAGGCTGGCCTTACTCTCAGAGATGTCTCCTGTGTTCTGGGATCAAAGGTGTGCATTATTGTTCTTGGCCTTTTTTTTTTTTTTAAGAGAAAGGGTATATTCCAGCCCATGCTGGTTCCCAAAGTTCTGATGTTCTGCCCCAGCCTTTTCAGTACTAGAATTAGTCATCACTGAGAGCTATCCAGTCTACTTTTCAGATTTTTTTTTTTTTTAACAGTACATCATTTCCCATTTGATAAGTATTCTTTGGGAAAACACACACACACAACTCAATGCATCTGCAATGATACTGCCATTTCAGGTCCTAGCACATTAGTGTATATACAGGGATAAACACAAGACTGAAGTGGTGGTAACCAACACTACAGCTAGAAACATCATGAGCGATGTCTGCAGTTTGAAAAGCCTTTTCCTTTAAGTTCTGGGTATATGTGTGTGCCTCTGTGTGCATGCGAATGCAGGTGCCAGTGGAGCCCAGAGCAATGGATCACCCTGCGGCTGGTGGCAGGTGACCATGTGCTCTAGTTCTCTGTAAGAGTTCTTAATCATGGCGCCATCTCTCTAGCCCTTGGTCACTCACGTTGGGTGGCTACTTTTTCTGATTTTTTAATCAATTCATAAAGAAAGGATGAATGGACAAGAGCAGGTAAAGGAGGGACAGGGAAAGGAAGGAGCTGCCTTTGTGCAAGCCCTCTGCAAAGTGAGGGGCTGCAGCAGGCTGTGACCCACTAATATGCAGTCACCTCTGTAACTCTGGAACAGTTTCTACGTTGTGTGCATACACGTCTAATCCTGACAGAGCGACCTTTTCTACTGCTCCCAGATCTCCTCGGAAGTCAGGGGTGAGGCATTCCACAAGGATTTTTGGATTCCTAGAAGGAAAAAACATAAGCATTGAACTGAGGGAAAAACATGAAAGGACTGCTGCCTAAACAGGTGGTCAGCACTGAGGCAGGGAGCCCTTCAGCAGCCTGTGAGCCCTGCTAAGGGAGGCATGGACACAAAAAAGTTCTAAGTGAGCAGCTACAGGAAGCCCTCAGAACTGTAACTGTGTGTACACTGTGACCCGGACATCTACCTGCAAACAGCAATCAGCATAATCTGACTTTTAAGCTTAATTGGAGTAGGTGATTAAAAGTAAAATCACTTAAAAGGAACCAAAATATAAGACTAAACTATGTCTGTAAAACAAATTGAGATATTTTTTGTGACCACAAATGCCACCTGCTTCAGCTTTGGTTTCTTTTGTAAGTCATCCAACACTGTTCCCCTCACCTCCTAGAGGCAAAGATCTCACCAACACTAAGAGCCTTAAGAACTGTTTCTGGGTTTGCTGAGTCATCAGGGTTTCTGTGTGTTTGTTTGTTTAGTGAAGTAGCAACCAAACACTGATATTCCTGTTTGTAAGGTGGCTGTGTTTATCTAGTGAAGCACTGTGATGTGAACTAGGTCACAGAGCTGCTTGTAAACTCATAGGCGGAGCGCAGTTACTCCCTGAGGATAGATGGAAAGACCACACTTGTCCTTTGTGACCACAAGATGCTGAAAGATAACAGTATGAAACTCTTTAAAAACTGCTCCTGATAACTAAAAACTAGTGGCCTGTGAAAAAAAATTTTGTGAGCTGCAAAATATATTTTTGAACCGTAACAAACAAAGAAACTGGGAATAAGTGGAGAAACATTTGTTAGTATACTAGATGTTCAACTAGCATCAAATCACTGAAATGACTTAGCTCCTTTTGTTTTTTGAGTTGGAGTCTCACTATGTAGTCCTGGTTGTCCTGGAGTTCACTATGTAGACCAGGCGGGCCTCAGATTCAGAGATCCTCCTGTCTCTGCTCTTTTTTACTTTATTTTTTAAAAGATTTATTTATTATGTATACATAATAAACTAATGTTATTTATGTTAAAACATAATAAATTATGTTTTGCCTGCATGTGTGCCTGCAGGGCAGAAAGGGTCACCCGATTTCATTTTGAGCCACCATTTGCTGGAAATTGAACTCAGTACCTCTGAAAGAGTATACAGTACTCTTAACCTCTGAGCCATCTCTCCAGTCCCATCTCTCTGAACACAGGGATTAAAGTCATGTGCCACCAATCTGGCAAACTTTGCTCCTTTTTAATCTTTTTGGAATAAATGGGATTGAAGCATTTTAAAATGTAGATTATGAGTAAAACTGGCAGGACAGATGGATATGAAAGAAAATTGTATCAAGACGTATATTTTACAGTGTTGATGCTTACGTCATCTTACTTTCAGCTTTTTATTTATTTAGAGAGCTTTATGTGTTTTGCCTGCATGTATACATGTGCATTTAGTATATGCCTACTGCTCACAAGAGTGAGTGCTGAATCCTTGTAGAGTTAGGATGGTTGTCAGCCACTATGTGAGCTGAGAACTGAACCCGGGTCTTCTCCAAGAGCACTACATGCTCTTAACTGTTCAATGTGTGTGTGTGTGTGTGTGTAGGGAGGGGGTAGATCAAACCTAGGGCCTGGAGCATGCTAGGCAAGTATTCTATCAAAGAGCTGTACCCTCAACCACTAACTACTCTTAAACGGTAACGTATTAAAAACTCAGTGCTGGACCAGATGTGCTGGCCCTCATATAATCCCAGAATGTGGGAGGCAGAGATAGGTGGTTCTAAGTGAGTTCAAGGCTGGCCTGGTCTACACAGTGAGTTTCAGGATAGCCAGAACACAGACACTATATCTGAGAGAAAGGGGGAGAGAGGGATAAAGACCTCAAATTGAATTTGCATGTGTCTAAAAGACCCTTAATTACATAAACAAATGGAAGACAAGTACCTCTCCTTCAAGCAGGACACGGTCTTGGCCATGTGCTCAGCTCCCCCGTCAGGCACGTCTAGAAAGGAAAGAAGCTATGGTTGGAGCTGGGCCACGCCTAGCTTAAGCCACAGTGACACACTACTAACCATCTCGGTCCACCGACGTCAGGACGACATAATCCAGACCCCACTCTGCAACTGCTCTGGCTGTATTGTAGGGCTCACTGGCATCCAATGGAGGAGGGTTTCTTGCTGTTTTAACAGAACAAAATCTGCAACCTCGTGTACATGTGTCCCCCATCAGCTAGAATACAGACATTACAATTAAATCAAGTAGGCAGATGATTTTCAAGAATATGAGGCCAAAAACAAAGTCAGCAGACTGATTCTGTTTATACGGGATCTGAAACATTCAAAATTAAATATCTGGTTAAGGAATACAAATTTATGTGGAAAAATGATACACTCAAGTAAGTGTTCCGAGAACTCGAGGGAGTGTGGGATTAGATTGGGACAATTTTATAATTTAAGGGGCCAGTGAGACTCCATGTAAAGGTGAGAACAGACTCCACAAAGTTGTCCTCTGACTTCCACACACACCTCATGCACACAGTCACTGTCATCACTGTCATCAACAAGATTCACCTTAAAGCCAAGTGTGGTGGCTCTCAACCATCTATAATAAGATCTGGTGCCCTCTTCCAGCCTGCAGGCACACGTGCAGGCAGATACTGAATAAATAATAAAACAAACCAAGCAAAAAAAACCCAAAACAAACAAACAAACAAACAAACAAACAAACAAACAAAGGGCTCAATGGCACCCACTTTTAATCTCAGAGCTCAGGAGGCAGAGGTAGGTGGATCTCTGAGTTCAAGGCCATCCTGGTCTACATAGTGAGTCCAGGACAGCCAGTGCTCTGTTATACAAAGAAACCCAGTCTTGAGAAACAAAACAAAACAAAAACCCAAACAAACAAACAGAATAATTGAATCATAAAAATAACTGGAGTGTGATGGAGCACACCTTTAATCCCAGCACTTTCGAGGCAGAGGTAAACAAATCTCTGTGTTGAGGACAGTCAGGGCTATGTAAAGAAACCCTGTCTCAAACAAACAGACAAACAAACAAAATAAAAATAAAATAAAATAATGGGATCCCAATGTAGAGTTTGTGCAGAAGCTGAAGTTCTATTCTCTAACTGGAGGTATCAGCTGTCTGGTGTATTGTTATTCTTCACAACTCAGTCATAGTTTATAAACATTCCTCATGACTCAATAGTCAACAAGCATTATTTAAAAATATATAATTATATTATACATTATTTTTTCTTTTTTTTCAAGGCAGTGTTTATTTGTATAGACCAGGCTGGCCTAGAACTCAAGAGACCCACCCGCTTCTGCCTCTCAAGTGCTGGGATTAAAGACATATGCCACTACTACCCTGTTAATTTTTTTTTTTTCAAGACAGGTTTTTTCTTTATAGCCCTGGTTGTCCTGGATTTGCTTTGTAGGCCTTGAACTCACAGAATCCACCTGCCTCTGCCTCCCCAAGTGCTGGAATTACAAGTGTGCACCATGGCACCCAGCAATATATTCTTTTTCTAGTGACACTTTTTGATTATTTTGTGTGTATGGGTATGTATGTATGTGGAAACACAAAGAATCAGATGACAAGCTGTGGAAGGTGTTTTCTCCTTTGGCTCTGTGGGTCCTGTGAGTTGGCAGCAGGTGACTTTACCCACTCAGCCGCCTAGCTGGGCCTAAAGATATAGTCAATGAAAAGTTGGATGTGTATATCTGTGTTGATTAAGCTAGATGAACAACTCATTTTTGTTATATAAATGAGACAGGAAAAGATACACAAAAGTTAAATAATTATAAAGAATATGTGCAAACATTAATGCAATACATACCCTAAGGCACCACAGAGTTAATTATCAGATCCAAGAAGACTCAATACTAGGTTAATTCAGAGAAGGGCGAAATTACAACAGGTCTCAAGATTGTAGGATTTTTTTCCTTTGTAGTTTTCATAAACTCATATGCAATAAAAATCTCACTGGATGTTCACAGTGCACATCTTTAGTAGGGGCCACAAACATCCCTGTTCCATGTCTGGACTAGAGCTGTGGCGCCCGAGCTGGCCTTACCATGATGGTGGCTGTGGCTGTGGCATATTCCCCACCTCCCCAACATTCTCCAATGTTGGGACATCGTGCTTCCTCACACACCTGTGAAAAATAGAAATGGTGCAACAGGTTGAAAACCTACCTACCAAAAATGAAGTATTAGGGTTTTAGGGTTATTTTTAGATTTTTATTAGCTGGGCAATGTTGGTGCACGCCTTTAATTCCAGCACTTGGGAGGCAGAGGCAGGCGGATATCCAGGTTTGAAATGGGCCTGGTCTATGTAGTAAATTCCAGGACAATCAGGGCTACATAGTATTGTTTTAAAAAATGAAAATCCCAACCATTTTATTTTACCAATAAAGACTCAAGAGCCAGGGGCTGGAGAGATGGCTCAGTGGCTAAAAGCACTGTCTGGTTCTTCCAGAGATCCTGAGTTTAATTCCCAGCCACCACATGGTGGTTCACAGATCTCTATACTGGGATCTATTGCCTTCTTCTAGCACGCAGGTGTACATGTAGATAGAGCAATCACATACATTAAATAAAATAAATTTAAAAAAATAAGTAAATCTTAAGGGGGTGGAGAGATGGCTCAGAGGTTAAGAGCACTGATTGTTCTTCCAAAGGTCCTGAGTTCAATTCCTCGTACCCACATGGTGGCTCACAACCATCTATAATGAAATCTCGTGTGTAGGCATATATGCAGGGAGAACCCTGTATGAATAATAAATAAATAAATAAATACATTAAAAAAAAAAAAAAAAAGGCTCTGGAGCCAGATGCTGGGGTAAAAAACTGCTAGCTCAGAAAGGCAGAGAAAGCAAAGGCCAAAAAACTCAAGACCAAAGGCTTGGTAGCTCAAAGCCCAAAAAGACAGAGAACTAAAGCCTAAGCTAAAGCTCAAAAAAGCTCTTTCTTTTCCACACTGTCTTAAATACCCCTCAACTCAAAGTTCCTCCTATTCTTTAATCTCTGTTGCACCTAACGTTAACTTTATTAAGTCCTATGTACAGAAAGCTCTTGGATTAAAGGTATGTGCTAGGCCTGGATGAACTATACCATAATTACTTGTTTACAATAAATAGAAAGTAATTGGATTAAAGGTGTGTGATAGGGCTCAACCACACCAAACAAGAAACAGGAGTTTTACAGTTCACAATTTTCCTGCTACAACATAGAGAAACCCTGTCATGAAAAACAAAACAAACAAAAGAACTATTTTTATTATAATTTTGTATGCACGGGTGTTTTGCCTGCATGTATGTCTGTGTACCACAAGCATGCCTGGTACCAGAAGTCCAAAAGAGAGTGTTAGATCCCCTGAAACTAGAATTGGAGATAGATTTGAGCTGTCATGTGGGTGCTAAAAATCAAACCTGGGTCCTCTGGAAGAGTAGCCTGTGCCCTTAAATCACTAAGCCATCACCCCAGCCCAGAATTAAGTAATTTAAACTGCCCATTGTTTCCAACATATTTCAAAAGAAATATAATCACTTTTCATTTCTTTTGCAGGAAAATGTAAAGGGGAACTAGGGATTAAACTTGGTTTCACAGACACTAAGCAAACACTGGGGCTAAACTCTTACCCCCTACAAGTATATGTACTTGTTTTGTTTTTCGAGACGGGTTCCTCTGTGTAATAGCCCTGGCTGTCCTGACCAGGACTTTGTAGACCAGGCTGGCCTCCAACTCACAGAGATCTGCCTGACAATTCCTCCCAAGTGCTGAGATCAAAGGCATGTGCCACTGCGCCCAGTTTGTCTATACACATTTTTGTTACTGTTGATAACACTTCACTCTTCATCTTTGCCCACTTTCCTTGCTAACACTTACATACTCATTAATCGTTTCGTTTGGTCTGGTATCACACATCTTCTAATCCAAGCGAAGGCAGGAGAAACACAAGTTAGAAAGAGATCAAGCCTAGAAGGTGAGTGCCAGACTATAGACTATGTTACATGATGAGACCACACCTCAGAGAAGGTTTGTTAGATATAAAGAAACAGTATTGCCTTCTGGAAAAATGGAGAGGAAATACACTCTCCACTTACTGTGTGGAGGTTTAAATTCCGCAACGTAGTTTTCAGCTTATTGTAATTTTTGCCCATGGGTATCTCTGTCTTTAGCCATGGAGGTAGTCTTAACCTAGGGAAAGGCAGAGAAAATGGTCCGTCAGCAACCTGCAGTAAACACGTGGCCTCACTCTAGCACAGTTTCCCAGTGCGGACTTTTCTGTATTCCTGGACTGACATGATTCCATCACAGAAATAAGAACAAAGACTCAAATCTAGGTCTGGTGACACTGCTTTAGAAAATACTGATAAATGGAGCCTAAGGAGGTGCTATGCTTCTGAGCATGTCCTCCCCTGTGATTCCTACAAATTACTACAGGAACTCAGAGTAAGAAAAGAGCCCAGCACACTATCTACTGTGCATTCTAGATTCTAGTCGTTAGTGAACGGAGACAATTTGTAGTTGCGGTGGTTCATGTCTGTGATGCTAAAACTCAAGTCATGGAGGTAGGAGGATCAATAGTTCAAGGTTAAATTTAACTGCATAGTGAGTTCAAGGCCAGCCCAAGCTGTATAGATGAAATTAAAAAACATATAGATCTAACATTTGGAATGGAGACTATATCCTTCCTTTATTTCATCGTGACTATTGTGATCTAGAAATTGTCTGATAAATAATTTTGAAAATGCTGTGCACCAAATCCTCACTGTTCTTCTGCTATTGTTTTTTGTTAATTCTGGTGCCAGGAATCGAACCCAGAGCTTTCTGCTACCAGGCAACCTTCTTTCATTAAAAATAATTAAGATAAAGTAACTACAGGCTATGTGTAAACTTTCTCAGAAAAGAAACAAGTTAGCATGGGGGTGTACAACCTTTAATCCCAGAATTTGGGAGGCAGAGGCAAAGGGATCTCAGTTCTGAGTTTGAGGCCAACTTGGACTATATAGCGCATTCCAGATTAGTTAGAGATACACAGTAAGACTTTGTCTCAAGAAAAAAAAATTACATGATCAGTATACACTAACAGATATAAATCAACAAGTGAGCCAGGTGGTACATACCTTTAATCCCAGCATTCAGGAGGCAAAGTCAAAGGCAGATGGATCTCTGAGTTCAAGGCCAACCTGTCTTACAGAGTAAGTTCCCTAACAGTTAGGGCAGAGAAACCTTGTCTCTAAAAAATAAAAATAACTACCTGAGTAACTAACTAAATACATAAGATAAAATAAATCAGTAATCACCAAGAGAAAAAGCTACATTTTCTCAATTAGATGTTGGATATATGATGGGAGATGGCAGTATAAAATGGTCAGGTTATTTTAGTAAAGATAAAGAAAAATGGCCAAAGAGTACAGAAAAATAAAATGATTTTTAACAGCTTTACCTACTTATTCTATTTAGATTTGTTGTCAATTCTAATTACCTTGAGTAAATTTAACATATCTTGAAATGTAAAATCTACTACAGGGATTTAAAACAGTGCACGAAATTAAAGGGTGGGACACTAAAATGGTCTCTAATAGTCAATTACCTTTCTCCTTTCTGGCGCTTTAAATTTCCTTTATATTCATCCCAGGTACTCTTGTCCGCAAGATCACCAGAAACAAAATCTTGAAGGTCTGGTCCATTACGTAAAAATTCCTTTTTTTTATCTAGCAAAGAACTTAATGCTCTAACGGAGCTGTATAAGTATCTTCCAAATACCTAAGGAAAGTGTTCATTACAACATTGATTCAGAAGACTGGAATAACCCATTATAATACCAAAAACAAAGAACAGATTCAGAAATCATGTAAAACGATGTAAGAGCTCAAAATCTTTAGATTAGAATCTTAAAAGACTCAAGGTGAGCCAGGCGTGGTGGTGCAAGCCTTTAATTCCAGCACTCAGGCAGAGAAGGAGGCAGATCCCTGTGAGTTCGAGGCCAGCCTGGTGTACAAAGTGAGTCCAGGACAGCCAAAGCTACACAGAGAAACCCTGTCTCAAAAACCCATTAAAAAAAAAAAAAAAGACTCAAGGTCTAAGTACCACCAGCTATGGTGGCTCAAACCTGTAACTCAGCACTCAAGTGGAGGCAAAGCGAACTTAGTCTTAGGCCAGCCTAGGCTACAGGGACCCTGAAGCACGGCCAGTTATGACGAAGGGGGAAAAGTAGGAAGCAGAATAAGAGTTAACTGCTAAAATACAGATTAGAAAACCTTAGGAAATGACTTAACATGTCACATTTTCATGTCTTCTATTCTTAAGAAAGGTACTAAAAATATGTTTTCAACAAATTTAAACTACAATAATTTAGATACGCCACAGCTGTGAATGTTTTAATCCTGACCAGTCAGTTTCTTTAAAAAGGATATCTGGAATAATTTCTCTAGTTTAGGACTTGGGATAAGCAACAGCGTTCCTGCCGCTCACCCGGGACCCCAGGCTGCGGGCCAGATTCCCGCAGCGTAGAGACATCCTCTCTTTCAGGTCTTAAGAGAGTCGAGGGATGGAGAGAACCACACTCCGGGAACAGGACGGGCCTACACATCCGTCGTTTTGCTTATGATGAAGCATACGTCATCACCAAAACTGCGCGATTTAACCAGCTCGGCGATCGTCTTGTTTGGCCTAAGGCACCGTCGCGCGCTCATGACGCAACACGCAGGGCCCTGACGGATTACAAGAACGTGATGACGAAGCGCGTTCTCTCTTTGCCCCATCTACTGCGAGGTGAGGAGCTTACGGGGCTGAGTGCCCTGGGAATCTGAAGCCATCCTCTCTTGGGGACGCCGGCGGCATGGACCCGGTGTCCCGACTCCTTGTCTCCTTGTCCCCCAGCACAACGGGCGTCCTTTAGGGCTTGGCGGCGCGAGCTGAAAGTTGCCTTCCGGGCTTTCAGGCCTACCGCAGCCCGGCCTCCCTGGCGCGCCGGGCTGGGCTTCCTAACACCCTTCCGGGGCCCGCGCGCCCCTAGCCAACTTTTGTCACCGACCCATTTGTGTTTCTCTGCCCGGATTTCCTACGTGGCGGTTTTCCGTTTGGAACGGAAATCTGTCCAGTAGAGCCTTTGCTGCTCCATCCTTACCCGCGTGTTTGTGTTTCAGAATGAAGACCATTCTCAGCAATCAGACGGTCGACATCCCAGAAAATGGTAGGAGGCTTCATGCTTTACTCTGACGTCTTCCTTGCTTGCTCTAAGTGATCCCCGGCTTGTGGTCTCACGAGTTCATCCTCTCTTCCAGTCGACATCACTCTGAAGGGGCGCACAGTCATTGTGAAGGGCCCCAGGGGAACCCTACGGAGGGACTTCAATCACATCAATGTAGAGCTGAGTCTTCTCGGAAAGAAAAAGAAGAGGGTAAGGACTTGATTACCTTCTGATAGTTAAAAGCTTTGTTTTCAATCGTTACAGCGTAAGATTTTGGGGCCGGGTGTTGGTACCACACGGCTTTAAGCCCAGGACTGGAGGCAAGACGAGTGGCTTTTATTGTACCGTTGGGGTATATTTTGCTGTGGTGAAACTGTGAAGCCAGTCCAATAACTTAAGGCCCAGTACTAGTGTTAACTTTCCCCCTGAATATTTTTTCAGACTCAATTGTGTTCTCAGGATTTTGGGGAGGAAGGGTATTTAGTCCTCTATTGCAGCCTGTGCCTATGACATGTGTAGGTGGATTTGAATGCTCGTGTACTCAGCAGCCAAAAACGGTGTATTTTAATTCTAAAGTTTTGTTTCTCCTACAGCTCCGGGTTGACAAATGGTGGGGTAACAGAAAGGAGCTGGCCACTGTCAGAACCATCTGCAGTCATGTTCAGAACATGATCAAGGGTGTTACACTGGTAAGCCATCCCTTCTGGCTGCTTTTATAGCTCTTGGGACAAATTGTGTGTGTGTGTGTGTGTGTGTGTGTGTGTGTGTGTAAATGTCTGGGACCAGGATGGAGGGTTAGACTCTTAAGAACTAGGCAGTTTCAGGGTTAGAGGGGTCCTGGTGAGGAAGGGAAGATTGAGTACCACAGATCAAACCTAGGGATTTGCTGGGTAAGCACTTTACCACACATACACTCAGCTTAGGATTTTTTTTTTTTTTTTTTCCTTTGTAGAGAATTTGCTGTAGTGTAGATTTGACTACTGGTTGGTATGTGTGGGAGTCTCATGGATAGAGAGGGGAAAAAAAGGTCTGACTTGTTTATATATCTGATGTCACTTAGTTCCAAATCCTTTCTCCCAAGATACAGTTAACCCCAAAGGTGTTTGTTTCATAATCAAACCTTAAGTCTCCTATGCATCTTTTGGGTCGTGCTTCTCTGTTGCTTCCAGAAAGAGTCCTTTGAAGGGCTGAACCTTTTGTTTTAGCTTGGTAATCTGAAGTCTACTATTTGCTGTGTCTGTAGTAACTCAGCAAATATTCTAATGCCAAAAACGAAGGTCTTGGGTTCTCGTTGAAAGGGTGAGATAGTAAAACAGAAGTGTCCTCCAGGAGCTTTACTGCCTAAAAAGATAGTTGTTCCTTTGAAGTATGTGTTAACAGTATAAGACTTGTTGCAGGTGGTAGGGTGGGGTGTGTGTGTTGAATTTTCAAGTTACTAAGGCACTTTAGGGTATTTAGAACAGACTGGCCCTGGGGCCCCACAGCTGTAATCCTAGGGGGTGCTGGAGAAGGGGAATCTCATTCTAAGACAGCCTGAACTGAAAACTTTGAGGTTGTTCAAATTGCTCACAGCCTACTTTTAATCCAGGGCTTCCGCTACAAGATGAGGTCTGTGTATGCTCACTTCCCCATCAACGTTGTTATCCAGGAGAATGGGTCTTTGGTTGAAATCCGAAATTTCTTGGGTGAAAAATATATCCGCAGGGTTCGAATGAGGACAGGTATGTGTGAGTCTTCGGGAATGATGAGGTCTCAGAGTGCCATTGTTTGGCTCTGGTGAGGGCTACTTCAGAACCATCTGCTTTTGATAGTTCTGGTTTTCCTGGAGGGAAATGTTGTGGGTATTGCGGCTTTTGTAGAAGCTGGGAATTGTCACATCTGTAATTACAGTATGTTCAGAATCATCTATGTCCAAAATCATAAAGAACATTGATTGGTGGCTCGAGATTTACATTGAATTGTATTTTGTAAGATCTCATGTTAATGCTATTGAATACACACCTCCTCTTCTAGGTGTTGCTTGTTCTGTCTCTCAAGCCCAGAAGGATGAATTAATCCTTGAAGGAAATGATATTGAACTTGTCTCAAATTCAGGTATGTTTATGTCTCTTAGGCTGACACATATTACTTAAGACTGAATGAATGCATGTCTAAATTTGTTTCAGAGCTTCCAAGAAAATATTACGGATCTGTTCTGTATAGACTATACGTTGTATGTGTGCTGGTTGTGTGTACTCTGTGCAGTTCAGAATGCTGGTCAGTGTGTGGCTGGCTTTGTTGGGGTATGTAGCTTCGCACTCATTTGACATCTGAGGGCAGTGAAGGACTCTTCCACTATGTAGGCTCTGGGGAGTGAGTTCCAGTTGTTAGCTGGGCCTTATGAAATGAATTCCGCTAGTGAAATAACGGCTTTATGTCCCTCTCCTGTACAGCGGCTTTGATTCAGCAAGCCACAACAGTTAAAAACAAGGATATCAGAAAGTTTTTGGATGGTATCTATGTGTCTGAAAAGGGAACTGTGCAGCAGGCTGATGAATAAGACCTAAGGTAGGATCCTACTTTAAGTAGAACTTAATGTACAAAAATTATTAAAGAACTTGCTGGGTAGGCATATTGATAAACGTTTACATGTATTTTGTTTCTTTTACAGTTAACCCTGCTCCAGAAACAAGATCCTGAATTATAAGTTTGATTTGGGGTGTCTCTTGGAACAATAAAACTCACTGATTTGTTTGTCCTTGATCTTTTCTGATTACTTAGCAAATGGGTCAACTGATAGTCAACAAAGTGATTTTTTTTTTTTTCTTGTGAACAAGTGGCTTCAGGCAATGACAGGCAACCTTCCTAGTGGATGTTCAGTGGGTGTAGCATTTTGGGAAGAATCTAGACTAGCCCAGCCATAATGTCTGTTCTATTATGTCTCAGTAAAGGCTGGAAAATGTAAGTTCTCGGGATTGTCTTCGTAGAGTTTTAATCCTAGCACTGAGGAGGTTGAGGCTGACGATCAGAAATTGGCCGACATGAATTATTAAGCAGTGAACCTGGGGTTACATTGGGGCATTGCGGTTGCTGGCTTGAAGTATGGGATTCTAGACCCTGTATTTTTGTGAATTCCCCACTCACCTGGTGGTGAAAAGTCAACCCAGAGTTTGTGAGTACTAAGCAACCCAGCACTATCCCCAGACCTGTAACTTTCTTGGACAAGGTCTGCTACGATGGCCTCAAATTCCACCTTGCCTCCACATACTCTGCTCTGGTCACAGGCAAGTACTGCCACACCTAGCTTTTAATCGTTGCCCTTTACCTTGTGTTTGAGGCAATCTTTAGTACCCAGTCCACCTCTGCCTGTGTATGTGCCTGAATATTTGCTTGTGATTGGCAGCCATTTGATGGAGTTGTGAGTACTGAGAGCTGAACTCTTCAAGAGCAGCACTATATGTAGTTCCTTTTATCTCCAGCCCTGCCTTTATTTTTTTCTTTTTTAAGAGTGCTTGCTACTTGATGCTCTCTGGCTCCTCAAGGCAGTAGAGGCCCTGTCTCAAACAAAAGAGCCAGGTTGTAGTTGAGTTGTCAGGATGCATTCCCAGCACTGCATATAGTTGTTGCATGTTCCTCTCTGTAATGACTTGGCAGAGATGGAAGCAGAAGGACTTAAGAGCTTCCAGACAGGCTAAATAAACTACTGAAGGCAATATTTAAAAGACTTAGTGAAAGGTTTATTGAATATGTAAAATGTATTCGATTGAGTTAGATACTTTCCTCAGTATCAGAAGTCAAACGTAGGACCGTTGTGTGCTAGGCAAGTACTAAGTCCCCCGTCCATGTCTTGGAGAATCTCAGTGCATTTACTATCACTGAAGTAATGATTTTCATATGATCACTACACGCACCCTGAGTGGCAACAAGAAAACATTGGAGTAAGAACTGTAATTGGATTCAGCAAGGTAAGTTTGTGAAGAAGGAACATGTTCTGAGCTTAGCTTATGAGAACAACTGTTAAATAGGAAAGGTGATGGAACATTCTGTAGCTCCTGCATAGTACAGTTGAGGCAGGAGGATCAGAAATTCTCAGTCATCCTGAGATAATGTTTAAAGCTATCTTGGGCTATGTAATAAATGAGGCTTTGTCACAGAAACATAGTGATGGTTACTGGAGTTGGCAACTAACTGAATATGGCAGTAGACATCTGAAGTCCCAGCTCTCTGATGCAAGATGATTGCTACTAGTTTGAGGCCTGCATGGTCAGCAGCGACACTCAGTTGCTATGCAAAAGCCTAAATCTGTTCAACTAAGTTGTTTCAAAGTTCTTTATTACCTCTACTGCCTGCTGCACTTTCCAAGGCTAACATGGAGATTTATAACTTAATATACTTTTATCAATAGTTTTTCTGGAGTGAATTCATGTGACTTGAAAAACCTGAGTGGTTAAGGCTTGTTGCTCTCGCAGAGGAATTAGCTTTTATTCCCAGCACCCATGTGAAAGGCTCACAACTCTAAATCGCAGTTCCAGGAGATCTAGTGTACTTTTTTGACCTCTAAAGGTAGTACCAGGTGTACATCCGTACATACATGTAAGTAAGAAGTGATTCACAGCTTTTCTATGTGGCTAACAACTCTAGCCAACTGTAATGGGTGTCATTGCACACTTCTCAAAGGGAGTAGAAGATTCTTTGCTAGTGTTAGAGCCTGCCATGGTATCACATGCTTTTAATCCCAGCATTTAGGAGGCAGAGGCAGGTGGATCTCTTGAGTTTGAGGCCAGCCTGGTCTACACAGAGAAACTGTCAAGAACAAAACAACCTGTTAAAGTTGGAGAGATGGCTCTGTGGTTATGGGTATTGGCTATTAAAGGACACAGGTTCAGTTTCCAGCACCCATGTTTGCTCGCCTGTAGCCCCACCTATAGGGATCTGATATCTTTCCTGGTATCTGGAAACAAAGTGCATATATGTGTGCAGGCTGAAGAAGACAGTACAGCCACTCCTGATGAGACCTGATAGGCTAGGGTCAGATGGAGGGGAGGAGGACTTCGCCTTCAGTGGACTGTGGGAGGGGCCTACACTGGGCTACAAAGTGAATAAATTGTAATAAAGGAAAAACTTCAGCAGGCAAGGTATGGCTGTGGGAACAGAAAAGCAGATATCTGCTGTTAGATTTGGCTACTCCAATAGCAGCTTTATTTCTCATCACTTTTTCATAGATCTATTTTGTGTATGTTAATGCTCTTATCTGCATGTATACCCGCACACCAGGAGAGGGCACCAGATCACATTATAGATAGTTGTGCACGACCATGTGGTTACTGGGAATTGAACTCAGGACCTTTGAACGAGCAGACAGTGTTCTTAACCACTCATCTCTCCAGCCCTCTCGCTTTTTCATGTGCTGTCTCTTTGTATGATATTTTTTTTAAAAAGTTAGTGCTGATTATAAGAATTCTAATACAGCTGAGCCATGGTGCGTGCACTCTAATCCCAGAGGCAGAGGCCAGCCTAGTGTGCAGAGAGAGTTCTGGGACAGACAGGGCTCCACAAAGAAACCCTGTCTTGTAAAGAATCCTGATTATGCCTTAAATTTGGCATCTAACAATAGATAGACCTGAAGTACAATTAAAATCACCTTACCTTTTAGGATGGCTCTGTGAGTGGGTACACATTCAAATGATCCCTCGTGTCTGTGATCAAGTCAAGCATGGCTCCTTAGGTGTAAATACCCAAGGAGTGCTAGCTTTCAAAGGGAGTATGTAAAAGACAGCTAGCTCATTCAAACTAACGTGCTGGATTCATCAGAGTCACAGTTACGGGCTGCAGATTTCCTGTGTGCCAGAGTTAGGAAGCTCTGGGGGACAGCAGGACTCTACGAATAATGGTATGGTCCTTTGAGCATCGTTGCTAATCCATAGTGAAATCTGTATCTTTGAAATTTTCCTAAGTGTGCCAAATCTTGTCACTTCAAAAAAAAAAAAAAAAATCAGGATAAGAGTAAAGCCAGTTTATTTTAAAATGGGAATTGCTGTACTGTAAAGCTACAGGAAAAGCTACAACGTGAACTTTCTTCGCAGATACCTGGTCTAGTTACCCTTCATCCTGTCATCTTCCCTCTACATGAGTTCAGAAGCCCGCCAAGCAGTGGTGGGGCACACCTTTAAGCCCAGCACAGAGGAGGCAGAGGCAAGCAGATCTTGCCTCTGAGTTTGAGACCAGCCTTGTCTACAAAGTGAGTCCAGGACAGGCAGGACTTGATTACACAGTGAAAACCTGTCTCCGAAAACAAAAAAAAATCAGAAGTCCAAGCTGGGTAAGGTGGCACATGGCTTTAAGGTAGGCAAATGTAGGTGGTTCTCCGAGTTTAAGATTAGCCTGGTCTACAGAGTAAGTTCCTGGACGACCTGTGGGCTCTAAGGCTATATAGAGAAACCCTGTCTTGAACCCCCCCCCCCAAAAAAAAAAAAATCAGAAGTCCAGTAAGAGCTCAAAAGTTTGGATGTTTAAGAAGTGCTTGATTTTTTTTTTTTTTTAAGGCAAGCTAAACTTGGTGTGTTTTAAATCCTATGCTTTAACTGCCTATATCCATGATGTAAATCCACTTGTGTAAATCATGATGTGAAATCCTGTTGTGTCTCTACATTCTGTCTGAGGCCTGCCCTAACCGAAATAGAGAGCACCTTGATAGAAGTGACAGAGTATGTCACTAACTGTCCAGTTTAAAGAATAGTTTTAGCCAGACATGGGGATGCACACCTTTAATCGCGGCACTCAAAAGACGGAGGCAGGTGGATCTTTGTGAGTTCAAGGCCAGCCTGGTCTACATAGTGAATTCCAGGACAGCCAGAGCTACATAATAAATCCTGTCTCAAAACAACAGCAACAAAAAATAGCTTTAAACTATGAAGTCTAAAACAACAAAATTTCATCTTTTAAAATCAATTCCTTTACCGTGAATAGTGATTGCTATTTACAGAAGAAAGCTAGAGAAAAATTATGTGAAACAGCGTTTTACACTTCCTGAAGCAGTGTTTGGGGTCATGCCCGCAGTGACAGTCAGGATGAAACCTTCAGCTCACAGAACTAAAGTCACTGATTGTCAGTCCCTAAGGGAATGATTTGAACCACACTGCAAAGGCATCGATTGTCATCACCTTAGTTACAGCTGTCTCTCAGATTGTACATTACCAGTATGTGGAACTGGAGTGACTCTTTATGACAGAAACAATGGGTTAGTTAAGAACTCTGCTTTGGCCTTTCTTTAAAGGTATAGTTTGTAAGTTCCTTGCTTTCCGAAATGTTCTTCTCTTTCGATGATGAAAGATGGTGATTGATAGCAGTAGAGCCAGAGTGGAGATGAAGCAACAACCGAAGAAGACTAGTGCCCTCTTCTGCTCTAGAAACGAGCAGATGGCACACTCTGTGTCTTCTGGAGGCTGACGGCATGCAGAACTGCTGTTCTCAGGGGGGAAGCCACTGCTGCTGATCAGCTTGCTATAAAGCTGCACAGAGGACTTAGCTTTGAAGTCAGATGTGAAAAATCCAAATCTAGGCTTAGACTTCTCTTCAGTCAGTTTGAATGCATAATAGCCTTTGATTTTGACCTTGTCAATAAGGTATGCTGGAAAAACAAAACAAAACAAAACATTGTTGATCACAAATATATCTTCGAATAAGAATTTAGTTTTCATTGAAACTAAGGTCATGTCAATAAAAGTCATGAAGTCATGATCTCACTGAAGATTTTGTTTTGGAGACAGGGTGTCACATCATCCAGGCTGGCCTCCAACTTCCTATGAAAGCTGAACATGACCATGAACTTCTGGTCTTCCAGCCATTCCCTCTGGAGTGCTGGCATTGCATGCTTTTGCCACTATGCCTGGCTTATGTGTGTTAGGGATCTATGGCGGGGCTTTATCTAGCACAGGCAAGACAGACATGCTACCAGCTATGTCCCTGGCCCTTGTTTGTTGATGCTAATCCCCAGAGTACTGTGGTCCTCGGCCTTTCTAACGCTGCGACCCCTTACTACAGTTCATGTTTTGGTGACCCCAACCCTAACATTACTTTGTTGTTACTTCATAACTAGTTTTGCTATGGTTGTGAATCATAATGTAAATATCTGATATGCAGATGGCCTTAGGGAACCCCGGGAAAGAGTCACTTGAACCCCAAAAGGGTCTCAGCCCACAGATTGAGAACTGCTACCAAATCATTTTGTGTGTGTGTGAGGGTGTGTGTTTGTGTGTTTTGTTTTTTGAGGCCAGGTTTCTCTGTCCTGGACTTGCTTTGTAGACCAGGCTGGCCTCGAACTCAGAGAACCACTTGCCTCTGACTCCCTGAGTACTGGGATTAACAGTGTGCACCACTGCACCTGACACAACATTTCCATATAGTGGGCAGTCTATCCCAAGGAAGTAATTAGAAATGATATTTCTGGGGCTGGAAAGATAGCTCAGAGGTTAAGAGCAATGGCTGCTCTTCCAGAGGCCTTGAGTTCAGTTCCCAGCAACCACATGGTGGCTCACAACCATCTACACTGGTATGCTTGCCCTCTTCAGGCAAGCAGGTGTACATGCAGATAGAACATTAAAAATAAATCTTTTTTTTTTTTTAAAAAAAAAAAAGATTTCTATACAAAGATAAATATTTCAGTGGGGTGCTACTCTCACCTAAAGAAGGGTGGCTGAATACATGAAGATATGTATTTGTATGTGTGTATATTATTGTTTTTTGTTTTTTAACTTTTTAAAGATTGATTTATGTTTCTATATATGAGCACTCTTATCTGAATATATGCCTGTATGACACAAGAGAGCATCAGATCCCGTTATGGATGGTTGTGAAACACCATGTGGTTGTTGGGAATTGAACTCAGGACTTCGGGAAGAGCAACCAGTACTCTTAACCACTGAGCCATCTCTCCAGCTCCCTAAATTATTTCATTTTTTATGTGCATTAGTTTGAAGGTATCAGACCCTTGGAATTGGCATTACCGACAGTTGTGAGATGCCATGTGGGCTCTGGAAACTGAACTCAGGTCCTTTGAAAGAGCAGACAGTGTTCTTAACCACTGAGCCATCTCTCTAGTCCCTGTTCTTGTTTTTGAGGCAGAGTTTTTCTGTGTAGCTCTGCCTGTTCTGGAGCTCTCTTTGGAGACCAGGCTGGCTTCAAACTCATAGACATCTGCCTGCCTCTGCTGGGATTAAAGGTGTGCTCCACTGCCACTTGGCACATTCATAAGAATTTTGTTGTTTTTTTTGGGGGGAGGAGGGAGCATTAGAGTTTTAACAACATGGAACACATCTAATGTTTTCAAAAGTTAGGGCAGGAAGTGTTACACATGCCTGCAATCTCAAGTGGAGGAAACAGATAAGAGAGCAGGGGTTCGTGATCGTCCTAGGATATATGAAGGAAACCCTGTCTCAAAGAAAAAATCAGTTAGACATGGCTGTTTTGTGGTTCAGTAATAGATTGGTTGCTTAAAGCAACACATAAAGCCCTGGCTTTGAACCCCAGGACCACAAAGAAGAAAGTTGCATGAGGTTCTTTGTTAAATCCTCAGCTCCACACAAAAAGAAAAGTTAGGGATATGGGGATAGCTTTTTAGTACAGCCAGATGGAACCTTGGTTCAACTCCCCAAACAAACAACAAAGATTATCTGCAAAAGCCTAATAGCCTCAGCCCAATTGTATTACAATACAATTAACTGTATCTAGGATGCTCACTGGAAATAACCCAAAATTGATGGTGCCACTTTATAAAAGACCACCTGTAGTGGCCAAGGTCTGTAATCCCACCTCTTGGAAGGCTGAGGCAGTAGGCTCTCAAGGCCAGCTTGGGTTACCAGTTAGGCCCTGTCCAAAAAACATGAAGGAAGAAAGTAAAAATTTAAAATATAGCCAGGAGGTGGTGGTGCACACCTTTAATCCTAACACCCAGAAGGTAGAGGCAGGCAGATCCCTGTAGGTTTGAAGCCAGCCTGGCCTATATAGCAAGTTCTAAGTCAGGACTACATAGAGACATGGTCTCAAACAAAGCAAAAATTAAAAATTCAATAATAAAGGCCTATTGTAAGAAGACAACCCAGTGGACAGGCACCAGGGGTCACAAGTCCAAGTCTCTGGTGATCTCTGTGCCCAGGCTGTCATTGCTGGCAGTTCATGAACCTCTCCCACCTATACGTGAATGCCCCAGACCTGACCTTTCAGGGCCTCCTGGATGTATTTCTCCAAGTAGTACTTTCGGATCTGATCATTCTCCAGAGCCAGATCATCAATGCCGTTGGCTGTGATATAGATGTCCATGTCCCCGTAGTTCCTCCGGATCCACCCAAGCAGCTTGCGCGCTCCCCAAGGCGTTACCGCCAGGCGACCGGGGGAGCTCAGGCGAGTGATGTCCTGCAGGAACTGGATGTCCCTGTCTGCGGCAGAGTAGTTGCCATTCAGGGGCTTGTGTATCACGAACCTAGTAGTGAAGTGGTTCAGTGCGTAGAAGTCGATGGTGCCCTTCACCAGCCTGCTCTCCTTCGAGGTGAAGCGGGGCAGGACTGAGCTGGACAGCCCTCGATGGTTCTTGGAGGCAATGTACTCCTTCATGGCCAACGGGTAGTCACCAGTCTTGAAGAGTGGATCTGCAAACCAGGCGATCTCAAACTGGAGGAAGCGCTCAGCTGCCTTCCAGTGTGAATCCACATAGGGGTTGGCAGGTTCCGCCCAGTCGGAATGTAGGGACAGCGACACAGCCCCACGCTGGACTGGCCTATACTGCCTGTCATAGAGGTGCCAGACCTGGGCATGGGCAATCATCAGGTTGTGGGCTGCACGGTAGGTGTCATTACTCGTGCGGTTGTACATGTCACTCAGTCTATTGGGCTCGTTGATGGTGATCCAGAGCTTCACCAAGTCCCCCAGCTCCTGGAAGCACAGCGCTGCGTAGCCCTGGAAGGCCTTGGTGGTATATGAGTTTAGCCATCCCCCACTGCTCAGAAGCGGCATGGGGAGGCCTAGATGGGGGTGGGTCGGGTGGTACAGGGTCACCATGGGGGAGACGCCCAGCTTCAGCCCTTCGCTCACCACACACCTATAGTACCTTAGCACTTGTCTGTTAACTTTAGACACATTGCCGGTGGGAAGGATAGCGGTCCAGTCCAGAGCGAACTGGTAATGGGTGACTTTCATTTTTACCAACATGTCAACTCGTTTTTTGATGCTCACATAATCTGTGCATTCAGATGGTCTTGTTTTTAGCCTTACCCCTTCCACTGGGTGTAGCAATCTGTTGCCAGTGGCATTCCACACATACAGGTGAGGATCAGTAAACTGTGGTGAGGAAACCATAAACTCCGGCTGTGGAAAACAAACACATTCAGGTAAATCAAGTGTGGCTCCCAGCAGATGCCGCCCTCTCAGATCGGAAGAACTGAGCCTTACCAAGCTACACAATAGAATAAAAAAAGAACTTTGTCCTTCCTAATGGTCTCTGTGTTCTGGCTGTTCCTGTTGGTAACATGGAAGAAAAGGCCTTATCCTTCTAGCCCTTCAGTTCTCCAGAAAGACCAGGAGATTCAGGGCAAGAACCACACACAGGGAAGAAAGAACAGTTGTTTAAGGAGCCATTTTCTAGCTCATCTGACCTAAAAATCCAGGTTATACAGTATCTCCCATAATGGGTTTAAATGCATCAGGATTGGCTTGGTACCCTCAGTTGAATGTAACTGTGGAGGACAGATTCCGAGCTCTATCCTAAGTTGATGGCAAAGGTAAAAATGAGGTTGTAAAGGAGTCGCTGAGAGCAGCACGTGCATTCAGAGGAGGCTGGCTGGCACGCCTCCCAGGAAGTGGCTGTGGGGTGGAGTTGGCAATAGGTGGTGGTGACCCTTCCATGTACTGACCACAACCCTCAGCAGTCCTTGTTTGAAAAGTCCAAGTGACAGCCCAGAGTAGTGGTATGTGTATATAACCTCGGCTCTCAAGAGGCTGAGGCAGGGGGACTGCTGTAAGTTTGAGGCCAGCCTGAGCTATATAGCAGAGACCCTATCTCCTTTAAAAAAAGAAATTAAATAAAAGGGAAGGAAGGCCCAGAACATCACATTTTCATGCAGTACCTCCTCCACCATGTGTCTGTGAGCGCTCGCTCCACAGGAAAGAGTATGGAATGTTCTCTCTATGCAAGGAGCTTCAGTTATGAGGGGGAACGACAGTAAAATAACCCCAAATCCTGAAGACTGACCTTTTGATCTTCCTGGCTTTTCACCTCAGAGAGGCACGAGCTCTTCTGTCTTACTTTTCCTTTCCTTTCCTTTCAATTTCTTTCTTTCTCTCTTTTTTTCTGGGGGTGGTGGTGGTAGAGGAGCGTTGGGTTGGGCTCACACAACCAGGCCATCCTTAAATGTAGTAAGTTCCAGAGGATGACCTGGAACTCCTGCCTCTTTTGTCTCCACTCCCCAGTTACTGCGATGCTGGGCAGGCACTGGGCCGACTAAACTCCATCCTCAGCCTCACTTTCCTCTTTGACCTTGGGCTACACAACCATATGGGGATGGTTCTGTGTTACCCACTTCCCAGGTGCACTGTAATGACTAGAGCGACACTCTAGGAAGGGTGGATGTCTCCACTGGAACCCATCATACAAAGGTGACTTGGGTTTAGTTCCAGGAGATCAGTGCTGCAGAGACAGAAACCCTGTCTCAAAAAACCAAAAATAAAATAAAGCAAAATAAATCAAAAGTTGTAAGAAAAACATTTCCAAATTTAAGATTAATTAGAGCAAGGAAAAATTCTGTACTTGGGTTAAAGTTCTTTCCCCCATGCGAGTGAATTAAATGCACCAGGAAAACTGATAATTAACCTTTGGTAAATATTTTCCTTCTAATTGTTTTCTCATGTGTCATCTTTCATAGTCTAATTACATAGCCATATTACTGCCCACTTGCCATCTGCCAAGCAGTTATCTAGAACATTAAGCTGAGAGAACATTGGTCATGTGAGCATGAAGTTTAATCTGTATATAATGAATTACTTGAGCAGTCTTTCCAGCCTCGGCCAGCTCGAACATCCCATCCCGGGACTGTTGAGATGTTTACAAAAGGTAACTTTGCCACAAAACAAGGCAAGAGCAAACAAAACGCTCTGCTCCTTACCCCAGGAAACCCTAGCTGTAAACAACATGTGTGATCATCTACTGAGAGACCACATAGAGATCATGTATTCTAGCTGGAGCGTAGTGGCAAATGCCTGTAATCCCAGCACTTGTGGAGGCAGAGGCAGGTGGATCTCTGGGAGTTCAAGGCCAGCATAGTCTACATAGGGAGTTCCAGGACAGCCAAGGCTACACAGAGAACCCTACCTCAAAAAACAAAACAAAAAACAACCAAACAACAAAAAAGCCAAAACAGCAACAACAAGAGATGATGCACACTAAATGGAAGAGCCATCTGGAGAAGGGTAAGGTGCAATGTGGAGGTGAGCATGGCCAAAGTGCATTTTCTTCACATGCAATAAGGTGAGACCAACACAACACCATTTCATATAATTACTGTGTGCCAATAAAACCAGTGGATTCAGGCTGGGGAGGTGGCTCGCAGGGGGAGCATTATTCACTAAGCCCGGTGACCCTAGTTCAATCCCTGGAAACCGTAAAGAACTAACTCGGCAAATTTGTTCTCTAACCTCCACATGTGCCATGATATGTACTACATACATATACAGTTAAATGTAATAGAATTAAAAACCCACACAACCCGGGGTTCAGAGACGGCTCATCAGTTCAGAGCACCCACAGGGATGCTCATAGCCAAATATAGTTCCAGTCATAGGGGATCCGATGCCCTCTTCTGGCCTCTGTGGGCAGCAGGCATACAGACATATATGTAAGCAAAACATCTGTGGTGGTTTGAAAGAAAATGGCCCCATAGGCTCATAGGGAGTGACACCAGCAGGAGGTGTGGCCTTGTTGGAGAAAGTGTTTCTCAGTCTCCTTCTGCTGCCTTAGGGTCCAGGTGGAGAACTCTCAGCCCCTTCCCCAGCCCCACGAGTGCCTGGGCCTTGCCACACTTCCCACCACAATGATGATGGGCTGAAGCTCTGGACTGTAAGCCAGGCCCAATTCAAGGTTTTTCTTTATGACAGTTGCTGTGGGCCAGCCTGGTCCACAAAGTGAGTCCAAGACAGCCAGGGCTGCACAGAGAAAAACCCTGTCTTGGGGGGGGGGGGGGGGGAAGAGTTGCCATGGTCATGGTGTCTCTTTATATCAATAGAACAGTGGCTAGGTCAGTATCCATAGGCATAACACGTGTAAAAACATATTGTGTATTGTCTCTCTTAGTGTGGTTAATTTAGAAGTAGCCGCTTACCTTAAGAACAGACTCAGTGACTCCCCAGGAGAAGTCACAGGGAAACTGGCCCTGCATGTCTGGCGTGGACTCTTTCGAAGGGAAACCGTTTTCCCGTATGATCTGTTTGTAGTAATGTGCCGAGGACTTGGGCTTCCTTTCTTTCTGCTCGCTGTTAAAATCCACATAAAACAGCCCGCGTCGAGTAGTGTAGGCATCCTGCCATTCAAAGCCGTCCAGGAGAGTCCAGGCTGTATAACCAAAAACTCGTACCTCATCAAACTTAATTGCTGCACAGAGAAGAGGAAGCAGGGATTTTTTTTCAGAGGGCTAAACATTCTAGATCATGTTTATAGCTTCATTCACAATGTGCCAAGGCATGGCCCATTACAAAAGTAGCACTTTTCCTAAATATCAGGCCTTTTAAATAAAACCTAAAATTGTTGGTTTGAGGCCAGCAAAATGGCTACGTCAGTAAAGGTACCTGCTACAAAGCCTGACAACTTGAGCCAGAGACTAGCATGGTAGAAGGAGAGACCCAAGTCCTAAAAGTTGTGCACTCACACACTCAAAGCAAATAAACGGTCTGCATTATGTACCTGAGTGAATGACAGTTGAAGGATCTCATTGAAAACATTCCTGATAGTTAACAAATTTTAATCACATTGTTTATAACGGATGCCCTTAATCTCAATACTCAGGAAGCAGAGGTAGGCAGACCTCTGAGTTCAAGGTTGGTTCGGTCTACATATTGAGTTCCAGGTCAGACAGAGCTATGTAGTGTGATTCTATCTCAAATTTAAAAAAGAAAAGGGGGGAGTGTGGCATGGTGATTTCAAAGCCTTTGGGGGACAGAGGTTGACTGGTGACCTAGAGTCTCTCATTCCGAGTTTGGGTTGCTTTCTGTTTGTGTACAACTGTCCAGGCTGTGAAATTGTCCTTCAGGGACTGCAATACCCCAGCTCGCAGAAAGAACATCAGCAACTGTAGGCAGAAGGCGCGGAAGCAGAGACGTGTTGTGTGAAGCAGCTGGGCTGAAGGGCAGCAGGCCCAAGGCCAGGTCCCACTCTGTCCCTGGGCGGGGGCTATTGGGCAAGGTTTGGAACCTTAGTCACCTCATTTGCAAACAGCAAATACTGGAAAAGATGTTCTCTAAGGACTTTTTCAGCTTTAAAACTATGGGAGCCAGGCATAAAGGCATGCATTTTTGATCCTGGCATTCTGGAGGCAGAGGCAGATCTGTTCAAGGCTGGCCTGGTCTCCAATAAAAACTGAAATTAGCCCTGAATCATTTTAAATTTTTTATTATTTTTATTTTATTTAATATGTAGGAGTGTTTTGCCTGCATGTTTATCCGTGAACTCCCTGTGTGTCTGTGTCCAGGGAGGCCAGAACAGGGCATCAGATGCCCTGGAATTGCAGCTACAGACAAGTGTGAGCTAGAAGACAGTGCCCTTAACTGCTGAGCCATCTCCTCAGGTCCCCTTAAATAATTTTTCTTAAAAACTTTCATTTTTCTCACAGAAATGCCTCATTTCTGCATTTTGGGACCTTATCATTGACATTGTTTTCTAAAAGGTAGAAAATCCACTTTTTGAAAGAAAGGTGGAAAACCATGACAGGAGGTTCCAAAAGGACAAGTGTGTTTCAGCAGGTTGTGGTGCTGGCCCTGGGCGGCGTTCTGCTGTGAGGAAGGGTGGGAGAGAGCCCCCTTCTGCCCAAGGGCACACTCTTGACCTGGGGCCTGTGGGAAGTGTCCTGTGAGGCCCCGAGTGCATGTCCCAGGGCTGGGTGTGGCAGTGTTCTGTGTTTTTCCTTTTTGCAGGGTGCAGTGGGAGATTGGGAGAAGAGCCCACTCTCTGAAAACCCTTCCTGAAACCTCGTGCCGGTAGGAGCCGGGACTTCTCCCCACACTTAGGACTTACTTAAGTTATAGTTTATGAATTGTGATGAGGGAAGTGTGTGTGTGCATGTGTGTAGGTAAGTGATGTGTGTTTGTGTGCACACATGCATGTTGCCTGTGGGTGTGGGGGGGGGTGAAGTCACTCCTCAGTACATGTGTGAGGACAACTTGCTGAGGTCACTTCTCTCTTCCCATCACGTGATTCCCTGGATTGGAGTCAGGGGTCTGGCCTGTGGGGTGGGGCAAGTGCCTTTCCCTGGCTGAGCCACCTCACCAGGCCTGCACAGCTGTCCAGATGAGTCACCTCCCTAACCCCTGTGTTAGGACTTCTACAGACAGCTAGCTGCACAGCTGGGGAATGAGTCCCACTGGAATAGAGCCCAGCTTTGACAGGAACACAGCTGGAGCTGTTGGGCCTCATTATCCACCAGCCTATAGGTGTCACTACTGAATGAGGTGACATTTAGGTAAGAAGAAATCTCCAAGAGAGGAGTAGAAATGGCTCTGTTTTGGTTTTAGACCTTTCAATCATGTCAAAATAAAAAGGATCACAATTTAAATAAATCACTGTTTTTTGTTCGTTGTTTGTTTTTGAGACTGGGTTTCTTTGTGTGTCTCTGGCTATCTTGGAACTAGCTCAGTAGATCTGCCTAACTCTGCCTCCCAAGTGCTGGGATTAAAGGCATGCACCACCACCACATGGCAATAAACCACACTTGATGGGAAACTTTAAACATATCCCCACTGTAAAGGTACTGTGTCCTTTTTAAGGAATAAGGCTGTGGTGGCAAATGCCTGTAATCCTAGCGTTTGGAAGTGAAAACAGAAGCTCAAAGCCAATCTGGGTTATGTGAGACCCTGCCACTCACAAACAAATTTTGGTCAATAGTGAACAAAACAAAACTCAACAACAACAACAACAATCACATATTCAAACAAACAAACAAACAAACAAACAAACAACAGCAAACCCTCAGCTTGGTGGAAGCATGGCTCAGCAGTTACAAATGGTTGCAGCTCTTGCTGAGGACCTGAGTTTGGTCCCTAGCACTAATGTCAGGTGGCTTACAACTGCCTGTAATTCCAGCTGCAGGCTATCTAATGCCTTCTTGTGTCCTCCAGGAGCTCCTGTATACCTATGGCATACACTCACACAGGCAAACATATACATACATAAAATTTAAAAAAAATGAGCCAAAGTATAACCAACCTTGCAGAACCTGGTTGAGGAAATTCTTCATCATGTAGATGGCCGTGGTGTCCTCTGTCTTTATATAACTATCTGTGAACCAGCCGTTCTCCGAAATCAAGATACGAGGGTTGTCATATTCTAGTTTAATCCAATTCAGCACCTGTCTTAAGTTGAGTGATACATTCTGTCCCATTTTCATCACGGTGTTCGGGGGCCTGAAGTTGTTGGGCCCGAAGGAAAAGGCGAAGAAGTCAGCTGTGCCTCTCACCTCCTCCTTCTCTGCCTCAGAAAACACAGGTGCGATGGATCTTGTCTTCACGACCTCAGGGTATTCGCCATCCCCATGGATGGGGTTGGCAAACCAGCCAAGCACAGAAGACATGGAGTGTTGGCAGTTGATTACATCCTCCATGTTTTCTGTTCTGTTTGGTTCTATCCAGTGGGACCCCAAGGTGATGGACAGCCAGCCTTTCTGATGAGGGCGAAAGTTTTTGTTGTAGTTATGCCACACTTTTGAATGAGCCTGATGGGAAAGAAAATATCATTGGTTTTTACTGTTCTTACTCACTGGGGTTGTAACATGATTAGTAAATTCTGGGCAGTTCAAAATGTTATTTATTATTATGACATTTCCGTGTGTGTGTGTGTGTGTGTGTGTGTGTGTGTGTGTGTGTTTGCGTGTACATGCCAAGGCAAACACGTCCAGGTCAGAGAACAACTTTGGGCAGTTGGTTTTCTCCTTCCACTGTGTGGGTCCTAGAAACAAACTCATATTATTAGGCTTAGCAGCAAGCTCATTTACCCTCTGACCACGTGGATAGACCCAAAACCCAGCTTTTTCTCATGAGTTATGGAGGTTAAATTCAAGTCCTCATGCTTGTGTGGCAAGCACTTTGCTGACTGAGATATCTCCTCAGGCCTTCACTTTGGTCCTGATGTAGAAGTCCAGGACAGTGCAGGCTGCATCTTCTATAAATGGGTAACAGTCAATTGTTGTTTTAAAAAATTAAAATTCCAGCCATTCTATTTTACCAATAAAGACTCAGGAGCCAGATGCTGGGATGAAAACCTGCTAGCTCAGAGAGGCAGAGAAAACACCCAGCTGACCTTCCTTTGCAGCTCAGGTCTGGATGGAAAAAAACCAAAAGCTGATAGCCCAGGAGGAAAAGGCCAAAAAAACCCCAAGGCCAAAGACTTGCTAGTTCAAAACCCAAAAGGCTCCAAAAGCCAAAGAGCTAAAGTGCCTTCTACTTCTAAGCACTATCTTAAATATCCTTCAGTTCAAAGTCCCTCCTGCTCTTAAATCCTTGTCAGCTGGTTTCTTGCTCTGCCTCTTGACCTAGGGTTAACATTGTTAAATTCTGTATACAGAAAGCTCTTGGATTAAAGGTGACAGGGATGGTTGAACCACACCATAACCACCTGTTTACAATAAACAGAAAGTTCTTGGATGAAAGGTGTGTGATAGGGCTCAACCACACCAACCAAGAAATGGGATTTTACAGCTCACAATTTTTCGGTTCACAATGAGATCAAATATCCTGCAACAGGATATCCTACAAGCAGGTGTTATAAGGATAGGGTCCATTAGTACTGTAAATAATTTTAGAACAATACCTGGCACAGGATAAGCTTTGTATCAGCCTCAGCTACTGTGGTTGTTGTTGTTGTTATTATTATTATTTTAATATTTAGTTATTATTTATACAACATTCTGCCTGCATACCAGATCTTATCTTACTATAGATGGTTATGAGCCACCATGTGGTTGCTGGGAATTGAACTCAGGACCTTTGGAAAAACAGGGACTGTTCTTAACCTCTGAGCCATCTCTCCAGCCCCATTATTATTATTATTAGTAGTAGTAGTAGTATTGTTTTACATTTCCAGTTGTAGTTTCTTATAGCATAATCCATATCAGTTTCTGGTCTGCTTAATAGATACTTACTGAGCACTTACCCAAGGCCTGGCTTGCTCTGCCCCAAAAGGCTGAAACATAGGAACAGGCTCTTGGAAAGATATATGAAGGAGAAACACAGGAAACTCCATAAAACAAAACATGAAAAATCACCAAAAGTCAGAAGTGTGGCCCAGCAGAGCCGTGAGCTAAAGGAGAAGGGACGGAGAGAGACTCGATTCGGGCTTTAGACAGTTTAACTGCTCAAGGCTGCTTCTCTATTCTTGACACCATGGGCTGCCCTTCATGTGCAATGCAGTCACTGCGCTTCTCCTCAGTTTCTGACTCACTTCGTCCGAGACAGGGCCTCACATATCGGAGGCTGGCCTGGGACTTGACAGGTAGTGGAAGATTATGACCTTCAACTTCTGATCCTCTGGCCTCGACTGTCAGACCTCTGGGATCACCATGTCTGATTTTTGGGTGCTGGATATTGATCCAAGAGCTTTACATTCATTGGTGTTTTGCCCACATATATATCTGTATGAGGGTGTCAGATCCCCTGGAACAGGAGTTACAGGCAGTTGTGAGCTGCCATGTGGGTACTTAGAATTGAACCCAGGTCCTCAGGAAAAGCGGCCTGTGCTCATAACTACTAAGCAATTTCTTCAGCTCCATCCTGGAGAAGTTTTCTAGAGGAAGACATTGTGAGATATTACCTCAGCAGTCTGCCCATACTCAGCACCCTCACCCCTTTCTCTCTGTTTTCATTGCAGGATCCAGGAATCAGCACCAAAATGCCCAAACCATCCCAAGATTTCCTTTCTTTTAAGACAAGGACTCACAATGTACCCAAAGCTAGCTTCCAAAGCACAATCCTCCTACTCCAATCTCCCAAGGACTAGGTTTTCAGGTATAGACTGCCATATGCAATTCTAGAACTTAATGTACCCCATGTTCAGAAGTTGGCTAACACAAATTGGATTCCATGGTTTTTAGTAGATTTTTCTTTAGGTTTTTTTTTTTTTTCTTTTCTTTATTTATTTTGTTTTTGTCTTTGTTTTTTGAAACAGGGTTTCTCTGTGTAACAGAGCCCTGGCTGCTCTGGACTTGATTTGTAGACCAGGCTGGCCTCGAACTCATAGAGATCTACCTGCCTCTGCCTCCCAAGTGCTGGGATTAAAGGCATCTGCCACCACATTCAGTTTAGTTTTTTATTTTTTAAGAGAGAAAAATATCCAGTGAAGTTGGATGAGGGAGGCATCTGAGAGGAGTTGGGAGATGGGAAGGGATATTAAAATATACTGTGTAAAATTATCAATGACTAAAAGAACTGTCTAAAGCTCTTTCTTCCTGAGCTATTCTGAGGCTAGAATCACCATGGAAAGTTTTGAGGCTTGCTTCCTCTACAGCTGTGAATGGTAGACTCAAAGGGGGACTTTTCTGCCTTTTTTGTAGTCACTTAGTCCCTTAACAATGCTAAGTACTTTTATCCTTAGAAAACACAGCAGCCAGCAACTCCCCTCAGGGTTGTGCAGAGCACATGTGTAAACTACAGAGCACTGCACAGCATGAGAGTTGAGCTGTATGTTAGCTATCTCACTCACAGGATGCCATCAACACTATAGGGAGAGTGTGGTACAATCAAGATAAATGCATGACCGCACTCTGAGCCAAGCATGGCGGCAAAGGCCTGTAATCCCAGCACTTGAAGGATCAGGAGCACTTGGAGGAGGATCAGGAGTTCAAGGCTGGCCTGGACTACACGAAGCAGGGAGCCAACTCCCCAAAGGTGTCTTCTGATGTCACACATGCTTTGTAGTATGCACACACCCCTCTCTCCAATGAATGAATAGATAGATAGATAGATAGATAGATAGATAGATAGATAGATAGATAAAGAGTTTAAGAAAAAAAAACTAACAGAAGTTAGCCAGCCTAATAGGGAAGAACATGGAGGTGACTTTCTTCAAAATAGCCCTCTATTGACCCAGTAACCATAGGAAAGATGCCTCAAGTTGCGATACCGTCTCAGCCACCTCAGCATTAAGGACAGCTTAGAAGGCTCCGTTTGCACTTTTGCAACCAGGATTTCTGGATACCCATATGCACATGTGGCCATAGCCCAAGGTGACCTTCGTGCTTCCCCCTGGCTCCTGCTCCGTTGCTGGTGTTTGCATAGGCTATCGAGGTATCTGGTTATCTTTGCTCTGGACTAAAGGCAAAGCTACTTCTCATGACAAACCACAGGGGAAGCTCTCTGTGTAGCACTTATGGTTATGACTTGACTCTGTCAAATAGCAGGGAAAACGTTTTGTGCCGGGATAGTCCATTGGACCATCTTGCCGGCGTGTGCATGGATGATACTCACAAGAATCTGTAGGGACAAAGCAAAAGGGACTGCAGCCAGGATCTGGCTACCTTGCACAACCTCCTATGGTCTTCCAAGGCCATCTTCTATCTTGTCCAAGGCCATCTACCTTTGGAATGATTGATTAAAGGGAGTGTCAACCTTTGTTCTTTAGACTCAGTAGCTTGACAGGGACCTAGATGCCTTTTGCCTTAAAGCCAGCTCTTGGGACTCACTGGACAATAGGGGTCCCAACATCTCATCCTTATTCAGGTCCCTCACATGTCCAACAGGCATATCTCTTTGATTCCCTCAGAAGTCCAGGCTGATAAATAGGTGATAGGAAGCAAATAAGATAATGAAACAGAGATGAAGAAGTTAGGGATCAGGACGACAAAGAGGGACAATGGTGCAGAGGATAGCTTGAAGACAGATGATGGCAACTGAGAGAATTAAGGAACTCCCAGTCATTTGAAAAGTGAATTTTACACTTGTTGGGGTTGCCTGGGAGGCTTGGGGGGGGGGATGGATGGGTATGATCAAGATACTTTGTCTAAATACATGAAATTGAAGATCAATAAAAGATACTCAATTTTCCAGGGACAGGTGGGAGATTGTACACCTCTTTAATTCCAGCACTTGGGAGGGAGAGACAAGGGGGATCTATGTGAGTTCGAGGCCAGCCTAGTCTAATAGAGAGTTCCAGGCAAGCCAGGCTTGCTATTCTGGAGACAGGGTCTTAACAACAACAACAATAATAAAATAGAAAGTCATTTTTCTAAATCTGCCAGATTTCAGTCACATACATATTGGTTGAAATAGCATCATGTGGTTTGTAAGTTTGTTGACTGCTAAAGCTATTGAGAGAACAAAATAAAAACTTAAAAATTTTTTCTTTAAAATATCACAATTACCATGCACAGTGGCACACACCTGTCATCTCAGCACCCTGGAGGCTTGAAGCAGGAGGGTGAACATAGCTTTTTTTTCTTTTTTTAAAATTCTTTATTAATTACACTTTATTCATTTTGTATCCCCCCTGTAGTTTCCTCCCTCGCCCCATCCCAATCCCTCCCTTCCTCCACCCTCTGCCTGCATGCCCCTCCCCAAATCCACTGATAGGGGAGGTCTTCTTTTCCTTCCTTCTGATCCTAGTCTATTAGGTCTCCTCAGGAGTGGCTGCATTGTCTTCTTCTGTGACCTGGTAATGCTGCTCTCCCCTCAGGGGGAGGTAATTAAAGAGCAGGCCAATCAGTTCATGTCAGAGACAGTCCCT